CTCAATTAAAATGGAGATCGTATCGGGCAATTTGAGATGCCGGAGCATTTCAAATTGCGGGTTCCCCGCCCCTGACGCTGGGTGGCGCCCGCCGCCCGGAGGCGGAGCCCGGTGAGACACTGACATCCCCCCAAACGGAAAGAAAACAGACAGCACAAGTGCCACAACGCCAAACTAGGGATGGATGGGAGAGAAGGACAGAGTCCCCACCTTGCAGAGCAACGATCTTTTGTCATCTAGGAAGGACGATCAGGGGCACAAAGGGAACAACATTGCTAAAAATCTCTCTCAAAGGGAACGGAAGTGGGGAAGCGCGCATCGGCCATCGCGAGACACGGAGAGCGGGCTGCGGGGCTTGGCAGGGTTCACACCCACACGACAGGTCCAAGGGAGTCCACACCACCTCTCTCGTATAGGACAGATTGCACCCGGCGGCACGGGGGCAGAAGGCGCGCCCCCCCTCCTCCGATTGCGCTCTCCTAAGTAAGTTCTTATGCTCCTCTCTCTCCCCCTCTGCCTCTCTCTCCCTTAGGGACAGCGGCAGGCTCGCAGCTCAGTGCTCGACTGGCGATCGCTCTCTCTCCACTTAGAGCGACCTTCCTCTAGGTCTAGCTTGGCAGCCAGCCGTCCGCAGCACACACACTGTGTGGAGGCACACGCAGGGTCGGCGACATAGAGTCTTTCTCGGACCCAACGGTAATGCTGTCACCTTCGTGAGTACTCCTACAGATGGCGGAGTAGATTGTTGGGGCATGAAATTCTTTTTGTTCCGACGAAGGTTCGCCAAAGGCGACCCTGCATCAGAGGCGGCGCAGCCCTGTCCTCGCCGCGCCCGACCCTCGGGAGGCGAGCCCCCGCCGGTCCGACCCCCGCAGGCGACAATCCCCCAAACGACACCCGCGGCGAGATGGTCCTCGCCGCCCTCTACGGCAGCTCGCTCTCGCGCGCCAACACCGAGGAGAGCTCGCTCGACACCCTGGTGCGTCGGCAGCCCCTTTTCCCTTCCGCGTCTCCGCTTCCGCATCACAGCTCGCAGTCTGGCGCCGCGCCGCCACGCGCGCGCGCGCCATCCGCACGCGCCGCCACCCTGCTCTCCCGCTCTCTGCCCCTCCCAAGCCCGCGCACCTGCCGGCGCAGACAAAGACCACCATCCCGTACAAGGACCAGGAGCGCAAATGCTCCTCGTTCCCTCCGCCGCTGAAGGACATCCGCTTCACGATGGCCACGTACATCACACTGACGCAGCTGCTTGGCTTTGCGGGCATCTTCTTCGTGCCCTACTGCAAGGCGCGCGCCGCCCGCTCGAGATGAGCGCGCGGCTGCTGCGCACAGACAAGCTGCGCACAGACAAGCTGCGCACAGAGATGCGTCGCCCTTGCGGCGAGAGCGGCGCGGGCGGAGCGCACCGCGTCCCACGCCGCCGCCGCCGCCGCCGCGCCCGCGCAGGTCGCCACCATCTGGTGGGCCTTCATCCTCTGGCCAATCACCGGCTTTGGCATCACCGGCGGCGCGCACCGGCTGTGGGCGCACCGCAGCTACAAGGCGTCCTTCGCCTACCGCTTCGTCGTGATGCTGGTCAACTCGTGCGCCAACCAGGGCACCATTTTCCACTGGGCGCGCGACCACCGCACGCACCACTTCCACTCGGAGACGGTGGCCGACCCGCACGACGCGATCCGCGGGTTTTGGTTTGCGCACATGGGGTGGCTGTACCTCAAAAAGGACCCGCGCGTGGCGGAGGCGGGGC